CTCGGGGCACCGCTCCTACTACCTGTGCGGGGCCGGCGCGCTGCTGCAGCACGCGCTTGTGCGCTTCGCTATGGACAAGCTGCTGCCCAAGGTACGTGGGGGGGGGTCCCGGGGAGTGCCTGGGAGGGTCTGGAGGAACCCACCCCCCCAACACCCCTTTTTCCCCAGGGCTTCCTGCCCATGACTGTCCCCGACCTGCTGCGAGGCGCCGTTTTTGTGAGTGCCATGTCCGTCCCCACGTCCGTCCCCTCCCCGTGGCAGCCATGTGACACCCCCCCCCCCGCGGCACCCCCCCGCGCCCCCCCCTTGCAGGAGGGCTGTGGCATGCAGCCCAATGCCATCCCCTCGCCCGTCTACAACATTGATCCCTCCCGCTTTGAGGACCTCTGCCTGGCTGGTACCTCTGAGGTGGGGATCGCAGGTGAGGAAAAATGGGGCAAAACCTGGGAAAAATGAGCTCTGTGTGTCTGGGGGAGGGGGTTCTGGGAGCCCTGCTGCACCCCCAGCCCCATCCCTCTACTCCAGGGTACTTCATGGACCATGCTGTGCGGCTGGAGGACTTGCCCATCAGGTACCGGGTCCCCAGGAGCCCCCCATTCCCCACTGGGGAGAACCGTGGGATCCCCCCTACCCCCTACCAGGGGGGACCCAGGCATCCGGGGGGGTCCTCACCCCCTTGCCCTGGCCAGGGTCGTCTGCTCCAGCACCTGCTACCGGACTGAGACCGACACAGGCCGGGAGCCGTGGGGGCTCTACCGTGTCCACCAGTTCACCAAGGTACTGGTGGAACTGGGGGAAGGACCGTGGTGTCCAGGCAAGTTGGGGGGGATGCATTGCCCCATCCCCTGTCCCCGCAGGTGGAGATGTTTGGGGTGACGGCGGCAGAGAGCGGGGATGAGAGCGAGGCGCTGCTGGCTGAATTCCTGGGTCTGCAGAAGGAAATCTTCTCCGAGCTGGGATTACATTACCGGTGAGCACGGGGGGGGATCCGTCCCCATGTCCCCCCCACGTGTCATTCTGTCTCCCCCACACCCCTGCTGATGGCCCCGCTCCCTGCAGCGTCCTCGACATGCCTACGCAGGAGCTGGGGCTCCCTGCCTACCGCAAGTTCGATATCGAAGCCTGGATGCCTGGACGGGGCAAATATGGGGAGGTAAGGGCAACTAAGGGGGGCGGAGGGGCAAAACCCCCCAATTTGGGGTCTGCACAGGGTGATGCCCCTGGTTACAGGCTCCAACAGTAACCTGAGTGTGGATCCCCCCCATTTAAGGGGGTCTGCAGGGGGTCACCCCCCATGTTTTGGGGTTTGTTGGAGAACTGGGAAGGGGAAGCCCCTCATTGTGGGTGGACCCCTATTGTGGGGGTCCCTGGAGTGGAGGCAGTCCCCATTATCAGGAGACACGGGGTGGGTCCTAAATACCTGCAAACCCCCTCTGCCCCCCTCCCCAGATCTCCAGCACCTCCAACTGCACCGACTACCAGAGCCGGCGCCTGAACATCATGTACAGCGACGGGGCCGGGCAGTTACGGCACGCACACACGGTGGGTGCTGGGGGGGTGGG